AAAAAAAAAAAAAAAAGCTAAATCTTCCCAGTCATTTCAAATTGCCAGGAAGGTTGCTACCATGGGCCGCAGAGAGCTTAAGCTGAGAGCATAGAATGTATTGGAGAACCCAGTGTAATCATCGTCATGTGGAAACTGCTAATTATTTTTGCCTTCAGAACAAAATGATATCCAAATGTGACCGAAAATACAGGCAGACACAAAGGCAACCAAGCTTTTGTGCATACAGTGCATGTACAGCATGAGTGTACAAAACACGAGGAGAAGAATTAATAGGGCTCATTCTGATCCCTGCTATTTCCAGGACACATTCCCTTTGGTACTCTTGATATGATGATAGCTGGACCACCAGGCTCTTGGCTTCTCCTTGCTCCTCATAGCTCCGTAATCCTGGGTTTGAAAAGCACTACCCGCTTCCTCCCCAGAACGTCTAACTTGACCATGCCCAGGAACCTCACACTCCTGCAGATCTATGCAGGAAACTGTGGCCCTGAAACACACTGACGGCCAGGCAGTCTGGAGGATGGAGGCCGTGGGACCTGGCATGGCCTTCGGGGCCTGCATCCCATCTTCTAGCTCCCCGAAGAGAATGGGGCCCCGGGCAGACATGACCTGCTTTGAGCCTGCATCCCATGGCCTGGAAACTCTTGGTGACATCATACCTTTTCTTCGCTGCTGATGTTCCGGGTAGAAGTCCTCCAGGTGATAGTGGGAATGGGGTCTCCTGAGGCTTCACAGGTCAGAGTGACTTGTTCTTCTAGTTCCATGGCGGTCTGGTTCTCTACATAAGTGATTTTGGGTTTCGCTGAAAAGACAAGACATGTTCATGAGTTTATCTGATTGGTTTAGCTTTCTGGGTTTAAATTATACCATGCACCCACTCAACACAGGTTATGTCCTTACTGAGTATAAGACCCTATTCTAGGTGTTGCAGGAGCTACAGAACTGAATAGGCATGTGACAACATCAATGTGAGACCATTAACAACAAGATCCCCTAGAGAACGAGCGTCCAAGGCACAGGGTGGAGAACGCATGGGGCAGAGGAAGAGCACTCATCTGGTTGGAGCCTTCATGAGGAGGAAGCTTTCGGGCTGGGCCATGACATCTTCAGTACCTGGAACTTTGGGATAGAGTCATTTTCAGTGTAGACTACTGCTTGACTGCGAGCAAAGAAGCAAGGACACATGAGGAGGGCAGTGTGATGGGGGCCATGTTTATGCATCACGGCAGGGGGAGGTGGTGCTAGAGGGAGGAGTCATGGCTGCCTGGCTACAGTGCTTGCTTTGAATGATCTCCGGGCGCCGATGGAAGCCCACTGGCGGTGTTCGATCAGAGGAATGAAATGATCACTTGTACTTCAAGAAGGTTAATCCGCAAAAAACTCAAGATTGAGAATGGAGAAAACCTTGAGGTGGGAAAACCAATTTTGACAACTCTGACAGTGCCCCAGATGTGGTGGAACAGAGTCCCGAACCGGGTGGTCCTGGGGGAGGGTGGGGTGGGGGGCAGACAGGGAAGGGCAGCTCTGAGAGAGGTGCTCACGAAGGCTTCACGGGAAGTGCCAAGTGAACAGAGGGCGAAGGAGCCATGGCAAGAATCAGAAGGGAATGAGAAGGAGTGCAAGTGACTGAGCTTCTCACTGACTGGGAGAGCTGTGTTAGTATTGACTCAAGCAGGGAAATGGGGCAAGAGACGGGTTGCGGGCTGCGGAGTGGGCTGGGATAGGAAGGAGAGGAGATGGGTTCATTTTCCAAATGTTTTGGGTAATGCCAGAAAACACAAGCATTTGGAATCGGAGTTAAATGTTAAAACATTAGAGAAAATTGACTTTTCCTGATTTAAAACAATTACACTCTGAAATTGCAAAACTTTCCATAGAAGAGAAAAGAACGCTGCACAAATGTAACTTATTTCACTAATGGGGAAAAAGACGAGGCTAGATAAACAAAAAATAAATAAATCAAATTTATGGGATAATTTCTGAAAGAAGTGCAAATTCATACGCTGCTCCTGAGTAGGTTAATAAACGACTGTCTATATACTTCCTACAAGTTGACGCCCCCGATTCTGCTTTAATGGCAAGTGCTTTAAAGGCTGTGCGTTTTCTGTAGCAAATACCTGCTTCTATATAAAATTATCCATATAGGCCAAGTATTCTACTACAGTTAATCTGTACTAAACGCTTGCTTGGCAAATTCTTTTTTGATGGCAAGCACCCAGGCATGTCTCAATCCAATGGGGCCAAATGATCACAAATTGGAACTGATGGAGTTCACTTGAGTGAGGTTTTCCCACAGAAAGGTTCTGTGTCGATCTTGATAAATAAGACTTTCAAGGTGGTCACAACTCATACTGAATGGACTAACTGTTAAGTGCGGCTGGACAGGAGGTTTGAGAAAGATAAAATAAAAGTTGAATTTCTACACTGTTAAAATCACAGATTGAAAAGTGTAAAAAAGGGGCGCCTGGGTGGCTCAGTTGGTTAAGCGTCTGCCTTCAGGTCATGATCCCAGGGTCCTGGGATCCAGCCCTGCATCGGGCTCCCTGCTCGGTGGGGAGCCTGCTTCTCCCTCTGCCCCTCACCCTGCTCGTGTTCTCTCTCTCTCTCTCTCAAATAAATGAAATCTTTAAAAAAGTGTAAAAAAATAAAATAAAATTCAGCCAAACAACTGAATTCACGGAACTGAACAGTTGTTTTGAGGTCTGGAGGCAGTTACAGAAAGGCTGAATTTTTGGCCTCTTGAAACCTAGATGGATATGGTGACCTAGACAGTGTTTGCTGGCCTTGTCATGACCCCTAGCACTTTGTCCCAGCATCAAAAGGTTAATAGAAGACAAACAAGGGATAGTTAATGTCTATTCATATCTGGTTTGGTGGCTCCATTTCCCAGAGGGTTACAAAGGGTGCACTGCACAAGGCTTTAGAAAAAAGCAAACTATATTCTTACTAAAAACACTATTAACAACAGCTAATTTTGTATGGTCTACAGAGGGCTGTTGGAAGGCAGGCAAGCTTCTCACTAATGACCTAACCTCTCTGCATTACAGAAGCAGCAAAGCTATTGTCAGAACTCATTGAAGGCTCAGGATATTGCCTTGGGGTTAGGATATCAATATAATTTATTGTCCAAATCAGGGCACTCTTGAGAGTGAAAAGGAATGCTCTAACTAATTACCCGGGGACAATGGGCATCCTCAGGCAAACAGGGACAGCTGCAAGGTCACTTCCCTCTGCACACCAGCATCTACAGGAACATCTCCAGGTTTTGTCTTCAGATGGTACTTACACCATCTTAATTAATGTCTGCTGTGGGCCCTTGACTTTGGGTCCCTGTTCTATTTTCCACCTGCTGCTATGGGACTTACTGCCTCAGATCGTTCCATTGCACTTCTCCCCACGGACCCTCCTGTGAGCACAGATGTCCTTGGGAGTGTTCCCAGCACAACAGCTCTCCTCTTCTGGCATGCCCATGACTCTGCACCCTGCCACTGAGAGGTGGTCTCGTCTATTCCCACCCCAACCCAGGCTCCTGCCTCCCCAGCTCACGGAGGGCTCTGGGGCCCTGCTCCTCTGTGCTGAGAGGCTGGACATGACCAGGTGCACCTCCCTTCAGGCTTTACACTGTGCTGTAACTCACAAAGGCTGCTTTGGTCCTAAGGGGTCAGATAAGCAAGCCCACTGGTGAACTTGCCTTAGCCCACAGCAGCACGAGACCTCAAGAGCATTTGTGTGAGCATAATAGGAATATGCGGAGACAAAAATACTTTTTCAGAAGGGCCCATGGGGGAGAAAAGCAATGGAAATTCATTGCCAAATTTAAAGAAAGGTAGGATGTAAGTACTTAGTAAAAAGAGCTTCTGGCTGATAACTAGGGCAATGCATGCTAGAACGTGACCCTTTCTTAGGGAAAAGTGATGTCGATAAGGTACAATTATGGCACTCTCTAATTTAGATGTGCCCTGTACCTACTAAATGCCTTCCCATCTTGCATCACAGGAGTTCTGAGCCCTGTTCTACCATCCGAGCTACTGGTTTCTGTGCTCTCTGCCTCACTGCTGCCACTGGGGAACCCGGTCCGCACGGCAAGCCACGGGGAACGGGAGGGACAGAGAGTAAGAGAAAGAGGGAGCACTACCTCGCTAGCCCCTCCCCACCCCGTGTCCTGGCCTTCCTACCAATCTCCTAAACCAAGGGAGGCCAGAGGAGGAGGGAGAGGAGGTTAAGAATGTGAAATGGAGAGGAAAAGCAGTGTGTACAAGAGGGACCAGGTTACTCCAAGGAGGCTATGTGAACTCTCCCCTGGAGATCACAGAGGGGGACTCGCGTTCTGGATGGGGGCTGGATTAGACAGAGTCCCTAGGAGTCTGTGGTTTACTTGCCTGTCTCTGCAAGAGTCTGGCCACCTCTCCTCTATTTGCTCTTCTGGACTAGCATCTATATTCTCCCAGCTGCGGTCTTGGGAAAGAAACTCTGTGTGTGTGAGGGGCGGGGTACAGGAGGGCATGCCTGGTGAGGGAGGTGGGTGGAAAGACAAAGCCTGTCTTGCCACAGTTCCTGCATCCTACATTCATTCCCTGCTTTGTTAGCTCCTCCCCTAGACCTGATCCAGCTCTTCACTCTCTACTGGCCCCACGTGGCTCCTGACTCACTACCCACGCCTCCTTCCTGGGGCAGCCACCCGCACCGGAGAGGCCTGGAAAAGAATCCAAGATCTGTTCCTGACCAGCCAAGTGAGAACTGAGTGTATCTCTACCGAGAAACCGTGTGATCCATGGTGGGAAAGGGAGGGCACGCTAACTTCGGTGTTCCCAGCCATCCCATCTGTAATTCAGATGTAGTCTGTGTCCAGTGGAGCTTCATGGAGTAGTAACTCCCCTTTGCTAGCTCACGGAAAGGAACTTCCAAGCCAACTGTTTGAGTTTGAACCCTGGCTCCTTGGTTAGGTCACCCAATTCTCTGGGCTCAGTTTCCTCTTTTGTGAAATAGGGGAAAGAATGAACTCTACCTCACAGTGTTGTGCTGCAGATTAAAAGTCAGTTACACACAGTACTTCACATGGTGCTTGACACATTCTAAGCGCTCGCTTTGTGTCGGGTATTATTATTACTTTATGGGGCTAATATATAAGAATTTCCCAAGACAAGTGATAGTTACACATTTCTAGACTCCTCTCCTTGCCATCTGCACTGTGCTTCATTAACATAAAACAAATGGCTCTGCTTTCACTTAGGCAAACTCTAGCATCTATGATCTGCCAGACACTGTCCTCGTAGCTGGGGGTACACGGCCCCTGTCTGCAAGGAGCTCACAGTCAGCGTAACACGCAGTCTTCCCGCCCCTGCGTCTGCGCCTGGGTGGCCTGGGCGCCTCGCCTGCGCCCACCCTTCTGCACCTGGGAAGTCCTGCTTGGGAAACAGCACACCGTTTGTGAAGACCTCTCTGCCTTCTGTCCCGCATGACCACAGGTCTTTTTTTCCTCTAAAACACTGTGCCCATTACCATTATGAAGTCCTTACAATGGGTCGTCACTAAAAATTTCAGCCTTGGTCACCCATGTTAGCCCGTGAGCCCACGGATGAGGACAGAGCTCGTGTTTTTCATCCTCATCACTTTGACAATGGCTGGGCCCACAGAAGACACTCAAATATTGCTGGCTGACGCTCTCTATTATAATTTATATGCTTCTATGTTCATCTCCCTCCTCATGCTTCTTAGAGTTAAAGGACCACATCATACTCATATCTCAGATGCCCTTCGGTCCAGCAACGCTGGTGCTTAATCACTATCTGTTAAATGAAGGAATACCTTAACAATGCACCTATCTTTATAATACAGAAGGAGTTGAAATCTGAGTGATTCAAATCTGGGGAAGAGAATTAGAGAAAAAACTGTCAAGAATATTTCCCAAGGCCATTAGCTTTCACTCTCCAGTATATCCAGTTGATATGAACCGAACTAATAACCTGTTTCTAAACCCAGATGTCATTAATAGAGAAATAAGATTCATCTATGATTAGCAGGTCCAGCTGCACACAAGCACTTGATCTTCCAAAGATCTATGATCAGGCCCCACGAGCAGGTCCCAAGCAGGTTTCCCAGGCACACACTGTAGTGACCTGGAACCATGTGAACCAGAGCTGCCCCTTGGTGCCTAGCGGCACCATCTACAGTGGACCAGCTTCCCTGTCTTTTTTTTTAAAAGAGAGAGAGAGAGAAGTGGGAAGGGGCAGAGGGAGAAAGAGAGAGAGAATCCCAAGCAGGTTCCATGCTCAGCTCGGAGCCTGATGAGGGGCACTATCTCACGACCCTGAGATCATGACCTGAGCCAAAATCAAGAGTTGGATGCTTAACTGATTGAGCCACCCAGGCATCCCATGTCGTTTTAAAAAAAACATGAGCAGGAAGTGTTGACAGCCAATAGGTTAAGCATTTCTCTGCCACAAATTCTCTTTCCAAGGTCAGGTCAAAATGCATTTCAGTTCCAAATGAATGGAAGTTAACCGAGTTTGTCGAGATGGAGTGAGTAGAGACTAGGGGCTCTTCTCATGACTTTGGTGGCACCGTTTCACATGGGCCACGGAAAGAAGCAAGGGGGACACAGGCAGTCAGCCGGATGGTCACTACTGTTTATCACGGGCCTTCCCAAGTCCGGCACTGTTGGGAGTGGCAGAGATAAAGCAGGAGAGAGACAGAACAACCAGCACTCTGCTATCTTGGTGTTTACACGCTTCATGGAGGTCGGAGACCACAATCCCCAGAGCAAACATGGAAATGAGGCCAGTTCAGGCAGGACAAGTGTGGTGAAGAAGATACAGTCAGATCAGTGGAAGCGCTCAGCGGAGGTGGGTGGGTGGTGGTGGTGCATTAGCCAGGGTAGTGCAGGAAGGACTCATTGAGAAGGCGGGTTGAGTTGAGGTCTGAATGGTGCAGAAGGCGGCTCAGAGCAGATGTGGGGGAATGACATTCCAAGCAGGAGAAGTATCAAGTGCAATGTCCCGAAGACAAGGAACAAGCTCAGTGTTGGCTGAGCCACAGAAGGGGGGCCTGAGGGGTTGGAGAGTTTTCAGTGTGGAGCAAAGCGGAGGAAAGACGAGGCTGGAAAGGAAGGCAGGGGCTAGCTCAGGTTAGGTCTCACAGGCCAGGGCAGGCAGTCTGGATTTTATTCTGGTTGCAACAGGAAGCCATGGGAGGATTTTAAACAGAAGACTGGTGCTTGAGGCCATTCTGGCTACTGTGAGGAGGGGCAGAAGGGGACCATGGGGTGGAGACTGTGTCACTGACCAAGAGAGGAGGCAGACAGTGTGGACTCGGGCATAGGGGTGGAGATGGCAGACGTGGTTGCACCTGGAACAGATTCCAAGGCAGAGAGGACGGGGTCCTGCTGGAGGACGGGGTCCTGCTGGTGGATGGAGTGTGCGGGGTAAGAGGAACTGTGGCAGAACAATGACCTTGAACCCCACCGTCCTTACCAAAGACTTTGAGGTGGATGGATGCATCCTGCTCTCCAGCCTTATTCTCGGCAATGCACACGTACTCGGCCTCGTCGTTCTTATCCACCTTCCTGATGGTCAGCTCAGAACTGTCATCGCTGAAGACGTACTTCTCGTCTCCCTCGTTCTCTATCTGTTCCCCATCCCTACATGGTGCAGAAATGCCAAGTGCCGTGATTTTGACCACAGAAGTAAGATGTTCATTTTTAACCCATTTCCACAGAATGCAGACTGAGCCCATGGGAAAGACTCAGTCTTCACAGAAAGTCAACACCCCAAATTGTACTTCCACATACACACCTTTGCTTCCTCTACCCAAACCTCTGTTTCTCTCCAAGGGCTATAAACTATCTACAAACATTCCAAAGAGGGCCTCCAAGGCCACGCCCTCTGGTTCTGCCCCATTGGAAGGGGTCCAATGCACAAGGCGAGAGAAGCTTATAGAAAGGAATCCATAGAATCTACAAAATCTATAGATTCCTTCTGTAGGAATCTACAGAAAGGCTGCACCCAGAGCTGATCTTCCCAAGCAGCCCATACCCATGCCACGGACATGCCAACACAGAGCAGGCTCCATGCTCCCTTCTCCACGAGTCCATGATAAAAGGCATGAGCCAGTTTCTTACTTTGTCCAGCTCATGGTGGGCTCTGGGAAGCCTTTGGCATCGCACACCAGGGTGACGGACTGGCCGAGGTTGGCGGTGGCATTCACGATGCTCTGCCTGGCCTGGACAGTGGGCGGCACTGAAGGAAAGAAGAGCTGTCAGGGGGGGTTGTGAAAACCTAGAGGAACCCAGTAGCCTAGAGAGGAGGCACTTCCAGGGGACCTCAGGTCAGAGGGTCACGGCCACGAGGTCAAGAGTTCTAGGCAGCTGCAAAATTAGTATAAGGGATCTAAATTCCAATGTGTCCTAAATAATTACTCCAAACTGAATAAGTAAGTCACCCACAAACATGCATCAGTGTTTTTCAACAATACAAAGTATCATTATATATAATACATAATATTGTTTTTTAATAACATAGCTTTAAAAGCTACATTAATAGGTCTTATTCCTTTCAAAATAGGATTCAGCTTATAGTAGCTATTTATCATGATGTATTTTTTCAATTAATGCATATTAATCTTATAACTACCATGGTAAGTAGAACTTGACATCCAAAAGGGGGTTCTTGATTCTGGGAAAAGTTGAAAATGCCTGTTCTCGGTGGTTAGATGGTTAATACCAATACAAAATGCACCAGCTCACTGAGTGACATTTCTCTGGGACTGTCAAAAACAGCCCTGTGCACAAACAGTTTTTACCAAAGGAATGAGAGGGGGAGAATTTGGCAAAAAATATATATCAATAGCCAAAACAATTCAACCACGATTTACTTATTTTCTTAGTACTGACATTATAATTTCCTGTAAACATCTTGTAAATGTCAAATCGATTCCACGGGTGTGTTTATGTGACACATTGCAGATTAAGATTAATAAGCCCGTGGCCCTGATTCTGACTATTCTGAGGACTGAACTGATTATAGTATTTTCTTTGAACATTGAACCAAGGGACTAATCTCACAATTATGGTAACCTCAAGGACAAGGAAGGATGAATAAGTATTAGAAAGCATGGCAAAAAATTTCTAGCGCTGTAAGACAATGGAGGACATTCAAGAATTGCACTAGAAGTCCTCCGAGTTGAGGGAGACCCAAAAGGCAAGTGTATTAAGAAAAAAGAAAACAAGCCAGAGGCTCTACCGGGAGGGGGGATTCACTTGAGATAGATGCTTGTGTCAGGATGGGATTTATTTAACAGACCAAAGAGGAAGTTCCGGAGGATTTGGGGGACCCAGGTGGTACTAATGGAGAGAGCAGGAAGAACGGATCTCCTCACCGTTCACAATGACCTGAATGTCCTTGAAGTTGATCTCCCCCCGTGCCAGGATCCTGCCCTCGCAGCGATAAGTGCCCTCATCTGTTTTCTTGATGTCCCGGATCTGCAGGTAGTTGTTGGACAGGACTATGAATCGGACTAGAAGAGACAAGAGGTGGGTTCATCCAAGGGTCAGTCAGAGAATTCTGGTATCTGCAGGGAGGTTGCAGGGCCCTTCCTCTTCCCTAGCGGCAATCTTCTGGGGCTGGGGGGAGGTGGCTTTACACCGAAATCAAGACATGTGGCCCTGGCGCTGACAGAGAGCCAAGAGCAAAAGTCTACTGGAAATTTATCTTTTTCTTTGGAGACAAGGTCAAGTGCCTGAATGTACAAGCTCCAGGTATTCACGCATTCAGGACCTGGAACACGCACAGGGCTGTGGGACACTGGGATCTGAGGTTGGGTTGAAATGCCTCGGAGGGTGGCTGAGGTGGAAACCCTAAGGGACCCTGTGGCTTGGGGGTTAGGGCAGCCGCCAGGGAATTCAGGCCTCACCATCTTTTGTCAGGATGACATCTCGGCCTTTGTGCTTCCAGATGATGGTGGGGGGTAGGGAGCTGACCACATCACACACGATCACAGCATCTTCCCCCTCCCTGAACTCTTGCGGGGTTGGTGCATTCTTGAACATGAGCTTCTCTGGAAAATGAGCAAGAGAAGAATGAGGGAAAACAGCTGGTTGCCCCACACAGACCCCCTTTTGCGAGAGCCATACTGCTTGGATTCAAGCTGTGGGCAGCTCTCAACCCATATATATCTTCAGTGGCCCAAGAGAGGGTCCCACCCATCCTTGGCCAAGATGCCCGTCAAAACAGCTGGTTTAAGTAGGGGAATATGGCATCAATGTTTGGCAGTCAATGTCTATTCACTGAGTGCTAAATTTATCATACTTTGTGTGGAAAAGGATCTATGGAGGTAAAGGAGTCTCTTTACCAAGTGTCCCTTGCCCTGTGGGATGGTGCCAATGAAGCACAAAGCAAGGTGCATGAATTGGTACAACACCTAGTCTACAATGATTGGTCATCAGTCTCCCACTCTGTGTGACACCCCAAACCCAGCTTTCCTAGAGCAGAGAACATTTTGAAGAACACAACAGAAGAAAGGCAGGCTTAATGGGATTAAATACTATGGCAATCAATACTGTTCCATTAGCTGTCACCCACCATTACACTGGCCAATGAGACAGATGCATGATAACAAGGTAATGAGATGCCACCTCCAGCCTGGATTTCACTGACAATGGGAACTGCCTGCTCTGAGCGGTCCAGAGTGTTCAGATAATAATCCCCCACACCCCACGGAGCCTTTGGACTCCATTAGCAGCAGGGGAGAGTGAAATAAAAGGGGACACGTGAATTGTACGATAGCCAGCCAGTACCTGGAGAAGGGAAGGGGCGCCCTTAGCAGCCCTCTGGGAACTGTGTGATTTGAATTTAGAGAATGGAGGCCAGAGGGAGGCAGCTGGGACCCACGTGACCCAGGGCTGTGCGTTCTGAGTTGGCCCAGGATCATTTAAGAACATACTGGAGCTCTTAGCTCAGTTCAGAAAAGACTCAGAGAGTGGGAAGGAGGAAGGCCTCAGGGAGCCCTTGGCTGCCATCCCACTCTGCCTGCTACCCACGTGTCTTCCTAGCCAAAGGAGAGGACCGGGAGTAGGGAAGAAGATGGAGGAGGCGCTTACGGAAGATCTTCACGTTGACCGTGGCCTCTGACTCACTGCCGCTCTCATCAGTGACCACACACTTGTAAATGCCGGCGTCATCAATGTTGGCATTGTAGATGGTGAGCGTGGAGGAAGAGTCGTCGTTCCACACCACGGAGATCCGCTGCTGGTTTGGGGTGAGCTTCTCTCCGTTGGGGGAGAACCAGGAGATGTCTTTATCTTTGGCATCTCCCGCCACTGAAGAGGAAGAAATAATTTTCAAACCGTGGGAGTTGAAAAGACAGAGTCCCCTCCAGGGTGACTGTGGGTACTCAGAAGCAGCTACCGAACAAGAGGTCATCGGCCCGATGACCGGGGAGGGAGAGCATTCATGCAGAGGACGTGACACCGCCTTCCCCTGGCTTCTGTGCTTCATCGTGATGCACAAAACACCACTCACAGTGACGGGAAAGAACTCGAAGACCCCTCGTGAGTATGCCTATCCTTAGTGAGGGACGAGGAGAGGTATTTGCTGAGGACCTACTGTGTGCCAGGCTCTAAGAGAGGAGCTCCAGCCTCATAGAAGAGGGGGCAGAGGGGATTCATGTCTAGGATCTGAGGTCAAGGGCCTGGCGCATCTGAGCCAACTAGTCAGCCTGTTCTTGAGGGCTCGGACTGTGGTCTCCAGAGAGGAGGAGGAGACACCAGCTAGTCTAGGAGTGTGGATTCCAACCAATTTTATTCTAGCGTCTGCCGGCCCAAACTGGCTCGACTGTCATTTCAGCACCCCGTCTCAGATAGACAGATTCATCTCCTTCAATCCTGCAAAGAAGATAGCCAGAATCACCCATGCGTCCTTTCCCCGGGGCACCGAGGAGGGGCAGATGCCACTGCTGAGCGGTCTCAGACACTGTGCGGGAACAAGGGCTCTCCGGCGGCGCCTTCCTCTCTGCATGACGCCCCTCCCCGGGCCACACCACCCAGCCCTGCACAGATGCTTAGTATGGAAATGAAGCCGTCCTCCTTTCAGGGCCCATCATGTTTTCAATAAATATCGCTATTTGCAAGATGTGCTGTGGGCTCCACGGCTGTGTCTCCAGATCGTTTAAATTGCTGTAATGAAGGCAAAGCTGGACTGAACACATCCGGCGGCCACAAGGCACCTCACCCAACGCAAATCATGACTGCATTTAAAGGCCCCTCCCTGCCAAAAGCTGCTTGCTAAATGTCATGGTTTACACCTAGCTCAGCTCAACTTCCCTGGTTCTTCCATGATCTGAATCCCAGTCCTGTCACATTCGGAGAGTCCAAAGCCTAATTGGAAGCTTCTCCTCCACAGGACGTTTCCTGATGTTATCTGAGCTGTGGAAATGGGGCAAATTTTCTAAACAAAAAACAAGGGCACCAGGTCTGACAAACCCCGGAGCTCTGGTGGGGGGCAATGGGACAGAATATCGGTATTCACAACAGACCTGGAAAACCCGGGACCCACATTTTCACGGCACAAGAGATAGCGGTGCTCAGTTTCCTTTCTGGCAAGTTTCAGACCTTCCTGGATTTCTGTGTCCTGGGAGATTCTAAGAAGTAAGCCTTACGCCGACCCCCTGAAGCATGGTTTCTGAGGCAGCACTGTTCTCCCGCGTCACCCACAGAACTCCGGCTGGGTACAGAGCAGGGGACCCGGGTGATTCGCTATTTTGGGAATTGTGCTAACTTTCCTCAGGAAATCCCTAGACCTCCTCCATCACCACGCAGAAGCCCAGATGACACATCTCACTGTGCTGGGGAAGCCCTTTGTGAGGGAAGGAAGAGGCCTAAGAGCTTCGCTGGCCCTCTGGCCCCGAACACCCAGGCCAATTGGCTACTGCTCTGCTGGCGGCCTTTCCTTAAATGCGGTGAGGCACAGGGCACTTGCCTTGGCATAAGAAGAATTTGGATTCTCCGACGCTGATTTCTCCTTGGCTGGGGACGATATCCACCTGCAGGGAAACTGGAAAAGACAACATCCGGTTGAAACACACATTAGGATTTTTGAGAAGGGAACCCAGAGCTTCCATTCAAAGATGGGGTCTCCCTGCTCACGTTAGGAAAGAGTGAAGGGAGGATGTGGTCTGGGTTGAGAACCTGTCACCACCAAAGAATCCATGGTTCCCGTGCCGAAGCCAGGAATGGACACGGTCCGGATCCTTCCCTGTGGAACGGCTATCCCCTGTCAGACAGCGTGGGGTCCCCTGGGAGATTTGGGGTGACCCCCCCCCACTCTACATGTTTCTGACCTCTTGAGAAGGCCATGGTCCTGCTCCAGACAGCAGCACCTCTGGGATTCACAGAAATAACAGATCAGTTACTTCTGGAAATCAGCCTAAAGCATCCCCATGGCTGTGTGACGAGGGACCCTCCAGTTTCCCATGTCTCCATGCTTCATGACTGTGGGGGATTCACTGTGACGATCCAGATGGATCTGGAAGCAGGGGATGCCAGATGCTCACCTTGCCTCGTGACTAGGGGACCCCACCCCTCTTTCCATAAGGGGAGACAGCGTGCAGCATCATCACTCCAACTAGTCAGGTGCCCTCCTGGCAGGCTGTAGCCTGTGCCCTGAGGAATTCCCTGTATCTCCTGGCTACTTGTGCTGAATTTCTATTTGACGATACCCATGCTCTGTCATTCCTTTCCACTGATAAGGCAAAATACATTGCACTGGATCCCACAGATTGCCGTATTCCTTCGGTCCCTCGTATATCTGCTCGGAGCAGATAACTGTTCCTCATGAAAATATAGTGTTAGGGCAGGGAAAAAATGCTTTTATCCATTTGGATTCAACTTCCTTTGCCTCCCCCTCCTCTTAGGTAAAGTAAATCGGAAAGCTAAAAGCTAATGGACATTTGGTTCAACGCATGTAGCTTCTTCAAGTGGATATGGATATGGAGGAGGGGCCGGGACTCAAGAGGCCTGGTAATAGAGACTCAGCGAGCCCTTCCTTCGAACGGCCATTTTCTCTGCACCGCAGAACCGAGGGCCTGCTGGTTGCCATGGAGACGGACTTGCAGGCAGAGCCGCTGTTGTCTCAGTCTGTGCTCCCGTGATGAAGGGACCGTGGTGCACTCAGCAGAGCAGAGGGATCAAAGGACCTGCACGGGGTTGGCAAGGCGAGCGTGGGGAGCACCACGCTACCGGGGGCGCGGCCTTGCTTGCCACCTACAACAGACAAAGCAGACCCTGGAGAAGCAGCAGAGGCAGAGGAGAGGTGGGTGGCCTGGTGGAGAAAGGAACTGCGGGAGGAAGGAGGGAGGGCGCAGAGTGAGGCATCAGGCACAGAGTTCAGGCCCGGGGAGGATGCTGAGTGCTCCACCGTGAGAACAGGAGGGGGACACTCAGACGTCCAAATGCTGGTTTGGAAGAAATACCGTAGTAATCCGGGGGCAGCCAGCCACTCCCTCACTGGGTTTACTGCGGATGACTCATCCCCGGCCCAGGACTGAACTCTCACAGAGAGCAACGAAATGCTACGCAGCACACGGAGCTGCGAGGGCACCTGACCCCGTGTAGGTGTCTCTAGCTGTGGTGTTTCCACCGCTTTCCTCTGGCCAGAGTAGGTGCGCTCAGCTCCAAACTGAGGGAGCCAGAAGGAGTCTCAACCAGCACCATGTTGCACCTGCTTATTTTCCAGGTGAGAAAGAGCAATAAAGTGACTTCGCTAAGGTCACCTCTATTTAGGGCCAGGGTGGTGGTGGCCGTAGAACCCAGGCCCCCCGGCTCCCAGGGAAGTGTTCTTTCCACAGTGCTGCCTCTGTGGGTAGGGGACAAAAAGTTTCCATTCATCCGGTTTGACGAACAGTCTGGAGAATGTGAGGAATGACCCTCAGATGCACCCTCCCCTAACAGAACAGAGCTGATTTTGGGGGCATGGGGCCTGACGGAGAGGGCCGCAGGCCAGCGCCATCCATCGCAAGGCCAGCCAAGACCTTTCCATTCTGTCCACGGCTCGCATTCCACGGAACGATGGCCCATGAAGGCCCAGGAGCTGTGCCTATGGCATCCATCACCTATGTAATGGGGTCCTTTCTGGAGTTTACTGGGGCATTCTTTAGAGAATTAGAGGCATATTTCTGCCTGAAAGGTTCACTGGCCCATATGCTAAACATTAGCTGCCAGCTTCAACATATGGATCCTGTTATTCTCACAGAGCCCTTACTGCTTTGAGAAGGATATTCTTATCCCAAGTGAAAAAACAGCCTTCATCTTTTCAGCTCTTTTCAAACAGAACATGACTCTCCGGGGGCCAGAGAACACGGCTAGGCTCAAGAGTTTCATACCCAAATGTGGCCAGTATCCTTCTCTGGGCCATGGAGAGCAATCAGAAACAAGAATTTCAAAGGAATTCCCAGCTTAAGCAGATCCCACGCACACATTCATCATCACAGAAGTTTTTTAAAGAAGACATAGCCACTTAGACTCCCGGCACACATGGAAAAGATAGTATGATTCCTCCTTCAAAGCACCAGAGTCAAAGCCGGGCCAGAGGAACCCCAGACTCTCTGAAAGTCAACACTTGGATGTCTTTGACTGTAGCACAATGGCTGATTATTCTTCCCCAAATGCTGAACCTTGAATTATTAGGTTTAATAATGGCACGTGGAAATCCTGCTCTACTCTCCAAACTCCGTCCCTCTGCTTCGTGGTGCCCCATCCTCCTACTCTATTAGACCTTTCTCTGTTTGCAATAAAAATTCCTACCTCAACTTTTGCCTTTCTCCAGTTGCACATATAAGTGAAATTTCCTAACCAGGCATAACTCATACCTTTAAAGAAACCTAGGAAAACCCTTCTCCCAGAAAAAGTATCTCAACTCTTGCTTTGCAGAAATGCTCTGCAAGAAGGCCATGCGTTATCCTACTCCATCCTAGATGCATCCAGAGATAGACGCTTACATGCATGGGTGTTTGGATCTGAAGGGCCATCATCCCCCATGGCCCCCTACAGCTAGATCACACGTTCCGGTTTACAAAACATACTCTGTTCCTTTGTCTGATGCTCACAACAGTTTGGAGACATAAGAAGGCCCACCTTATTGTCTCCATCCTATACAAGAGAATATTAATGCTCAGAGAAGCAAAATAACTAGCCAAGGGCGACGCAGCTAATGAGCAGTTAAGATTCAAAGTCATCTGATTCTAAGACTCCAGCTATTCCCTCTATACCCCAAAACTACCACTAACCTTTGGTTGGCTGTCTCATAGGCTCATTATGACCTAGTATTTAGCATTTGCTCTCTTGCCAAATCATGGGCTAGAAAGAGCAGAGTGTACAAACATCTTACAGTCAAGTTGCTGCCTTCCTTTCTATCCTGGTTGATTCTAACTGGCCTCCTCGCCCACAGATGATCACAGCATTGTAACTCCTATTTCACAGATGGGGAGGTGGAGGCTCAGGGCCATAAGTAGTAGAAATGGTGGAGTCCAGACTCCAACCCAGGCTGGATAGAGTCGAAAGCTCCAGATATTTCTCCTATATTCTTTGATCCCTTGTGAGCAGACAGGAAAAGGGTTCTCTTAAGAACAGAATGATCCCCCTGCCCCCATCCTCATCTGATTTTAAAAGTAAAATAAACTTGCGGGAGATTTGTACATTTTCAAATGTGTTTCCTGTTTAAATGTTTTTTAAAAACCAATGCTATGTTCAAAAAGAGGCAAACTTGTTTGGCAAACAGCTTCAGATGTAGAGAGAAGTTTGGGGACTCTCAACTTTCTAGCAGAAGCAAGAGAATTTCCTTTAGTTGCTAAAGGAAAGTGAATTCGGATTTCAGTTCATAAAACATGCTAAGGCAGTTATCAGGAGAGGTGGAAATCTTGCCAAAGCAAAGCAACAGAGAAAAATTATTCTGATTTCAAGAAGGAGACCACAGATTTCACTTGAGTCAGCAACTTCTTGCTGTAGTTTGATTTTTACTGGTTTTCTTTTCAGATTCTAATGTGCTTAACAAGGTAGGGGCTGACAGCAGAATGTAAACCCAGGTCTTTCCCGTGGCTAATTGAAAATATTTTCTTGTTAAATGGTGATAAAGATGCTGATCGCTGAGGAAGACGGACTGCAGGTATGCAGCAGGCCAGAGCCAAGGTAAGAAGACGCCCCCGTCACCAATTTAAGAGAAGAGTGAACAACAGAGGATTAATGTGATCAGTAACTATGCACCAGGTAAGGGAATTTTCTAGAACCTATGTAATAACAGCTAAGAATTTTTGAAAAGGGCATCAAAGTGTCACTTATGAATTTATTTTATTAGCTATTGTTCTAGAAACGAACCTGGAATATCACCATACTTAACCACTTCCATGGAGAGTCGTTTTTTATTTTTCAACTATAACTAATACTAAATCTCTTTCATGTGACCATACCTATTGGAAAGCCAGACATCTGGACCAAGAGTGTAACAACTGAGGGGCCCCCACTTGCTTCTGGCAGTTTGCTCTCCTTATTAGCAAAGTACTTGAGGGTAACTTCACTACTAAACCAGCCAAACTCCATGAAAGTAAAGCCAAAACCAAGATGGCAGTACTGGAGAATGGCTGAGGCCCAGGGCTCTGGACCAGACTGTTGAGTGTGAATCTCAGCTGTGCCACTTACTGTGTGATCTTGCCATGTATTTTAACCTCTCGGTGCCTCTGTTTTCTTATCTGTAAAATGGGGACAAACAGAACCCTCTTCATAGGGCTGTTGGAAAGACAAAATGAATTCATATATGTGAAGCACTTAGAATAGCGTCTGGCACATACTAACCATTTTATGCTTGCTGTGTATTATTCTTCTTCATAAATCTTTATTTACAACCCTTCCCAAAGAAATTATTTTGATCACGGTTTTTGAGGGAAGCAATGTTTCTCTTTATGGTTTAAGATAAAGTAACCTTCACGAACGATCCAATTGGTCAGGTGGCCCAGTTCCACTCTCTACACTAATTTAGGAAATTCTACTTGCCAGTCACAACTTTATTGGTATACAAGATGACGG